AGCTACGAAATAAAAACTCGTATTGTAAAAGCCAGAAGCTCTTTCAACAGCCTTAGGAAGATTCTCTGCAATTTATCTTTAAGTTTCAATATACTGATATGACTATATTGAGGGTCTCTTATATACACCACACTAGTAACATAACTATTCTCCAGAGGATAAGAAAAGACAAAGCAATTATTAACACCATTAAGAACAGAAAATTGGCTTACTTCGGCCACATCATCTTCTTTAAGTGCCATCTCCGCGACGAAGGTTGGCAATCATCATGGCTATTCTGACCTTCGAGGCAGCTGCTCTGAACAATTGCCTTGAGCTGCAACCAAACCACTATCTCAGGTTCTTCAACCAGGAAACGCGTCTTCTTCCTACGCTTCTCCTACCCTCTATTTTTTCTTGAATTAGGAGTCTCAAGATGTTGTATCTTTCGCCTCTCATCACATGTCCGAGATATTGCAATTTCCTTTCTTTTATTGTATTTACCATTTCCCTCTCTCTCTCTGCCTATTCTCCTTAACACTTCTGTATTCGTGACTCTATCTAACCATGAAATCCTTAACAATCTTCTAAATGTCCACATTTCAAACGCGTTAAGTCGATTTATTGTATTCCAGTTTAATGTCCATGATTCAGCTCCATTGTAGAGTACACTTTGTACATAGCATTTAATTAGACTTAGTCTGAGGGCCAATGTCAGATCTTTGCTGCATAAAATCTTTTTCATTTTCAAAAAGTTGGCACGTGCTTTTTCAATTCTGACTCTTATTTCTGCAGTATAATTGTTATTTTCTGTGATTATCGTTCCCAAGTAAGTATATATTTTTACTCTCTCAAGCTGCTGGCCGCCTACCGTTAATATTTCGTTTGTATTGTTGTTCTTGCTAATTTTCATGAATTTGGTTTTTTTGATGTTAGAGAGAGTCCGTATTCTCCACTATATCTTAATATTTCGTTCATTATTCTTTCTAAGTCTTCCAAGTTGGCGGCTATTATGACTGCATCGTCGGCATTCCGTTAACTTTTATGCCGACTGTCTCGTTTACCAAAGCTTCTTGTATGGTTTCTTATCGTCGGCATTCCGTTAACTTTTATGCCAACTGTCTCGTTTACCAAAGCTTCTTGTATGGTTTCTTCAGAATAAGTATTAAACAATAACGGCGACAGTATGCAACCTTGCCTGACCCCTCTCCTTATCTCCACTTCTTCTGACACTTCTCTTCCAATTTTCACATTTGATGGTTGGCTGTAGTATAAATTTGATATCAATGTTACATGCCTCACATCCAGATTCTTGTTTTTGAATACTTCTATAAGTCGGTCATGTTTTACCTTATCGAATGCCTTGTTGTAGTCTATAAAGCATACATAAAGATCTCGATTAACATCCAAACACTAATCACTAATTACTAAATCCATCTCCAGCTTAGCGTGTATCCTATTATGGATGATTTTTAGCAGGGTTTTTAAGGTATGTGACAGATTGATCGTTCGATAATCACTACATTCTTTGGCATTTACTTTCTTTGGTAGACAAATAAATGTTGATGTCAGTATTTCACGTGGAATGATTCCTGTGGAATAGATTGTGTTAAGTAGTTAGACTAAAAGATTCATTGACCAGTTTTAGCAATTCACTTGGTATTTCATCTGGACCAGCAGCTTTATTATTTTTCATGGAATTTACTGCATGCATAACTCTTTGACTTTCTTATGGAGATTGAAGTTATCATATTTGTTTTGTAAGTGTTCTATTTCTTGGCATTTTCCAGCGAAATAAGGCTCTTTAGCTTCTCTTATTTTCCTTCTCATTTGATTATGCAGCTGTTGATACTGAGTTATGTTGATATTCTTTTGCCTTCTTATGTCCTCCATCATTTCCAAGATTTCTTTTGTCATCCAATCTCCTTTCTTGTATCTGGTTGTTGTGAGTTCTCTACGACTTGGTTCGATACTTGCATTTTTAAAGAGTTACCACTGTTGTTCTACATCACCATCAATTGATTCCAGTGGGGATTCTAGGCTTGCATTAATTTCTTGTTTGAGTTTATCACTTTTGTAGCTTTTTTTGTATCTTTTTTAAGAGAAGTTGGAATTTTGCTACAAGGGGATTGTGGTCCGACGCCTCATAGAACTTGGTACACTTCACCTGGGTACACTTTCACCGATTGTATTGCGTTTCGGTATCTGTGGTTTATTAAAAAGGCGTCGTTTAGGCGGTTTGAAGAAAGTATTCATTACCGCAAGGTTATGTTCTAGGCAGAATTCTATAAGGCGTTCTCCTCTCTCATTTTGAACACCGAGTCCATATGGTCCTACAGTAGACTCACATCTTCCTTCTCCAACTTTGGCGTTAAAATCACCCATGACTACTACTGTTATATCTCTAGATGTTGTATTTTGTAGGGTTTTTTAAAGGTCATCGTAAAATTTTTCAATTTCTGCCTGTGTTTTATCGGCGGTTGGCACATAAATCTGAATAAGGTTTAATTTTCCATGTGTTGTCATTATTTGCATTAGCATAATTCTTTCCGATATTGGTATAAAGCCTACAACTGATTTTGCAACTTTTTTACTGACATTAATTGCTACTCCATACTGATGTTGGCTGTCGGTAAAGTAGAAAAGTCGACGATTGGTTATACTTAGTTCGCCGGAGTCGTCATCTTGTGTCACTTATTCCCAATATGTCGATCTTAAGTCGCATCATTTCTTGTTCTATATTCCTTAGTTTACCAGGCCCATACATGCTTTTAACATTCCATGTCGCTATTTAAAAAATTAATTTTGTATTTTTAGTACGCAGGGATTTCGTTTTTTAACGACCTGAAGAGCCTTTTCATCATTGTTATTTCTCCCCCTGCCGAATCTTGGCATCCAAGAACCATGATTAGTACGGTGATGCTTGTCATTAACTGCCATGACGATTTCTAGGGGTACTATACGAATATTTATTGCAGTGGTTCCCCGTTGCCTTCTGCATCCTTATGCCGTTGACCATTCCTTGGTTCATCTGCCTTCGAGATAGATTTCTATATCTCAGGACAAAAGAGTGCCCTTACATCTACCAGCTCCTCGCCCGAAACCGTTGGCCAGTATTCTATATCAATCCTAAAATCGAGGGTTGCCACTTACGCCATCCGCACAGTACCGAAGTTTTGCTTCTCCGCCCTGGCTGCTGTTGTGGACTTCATCCGTAACCCTGGACAAGCGACCCTAAACAGGTACTAATTTCCCGGGTCAGGAGACACACCAGATAGGACTATCTTCAAGAATTTAAAGAGTTCCTACGCGCTATCCCCGGCCCTCCTAGCCACATCATCATCAATCAGCCAATCGCGTCCACTGCTGGACATAGGCCTCCCTCAGTTCTTTCCAGTGTTCTCTACACTGGGCGCTTGTAGCCAGTTTCCCGCTACACATGCGTAGCCACATCATGCGTAATAATAAATACGGACTTCTACAGTTGATTCTACAAGGCAAGATTGAGGGTAAGAGAAGCCCTTGACGTAAACGTATATCCTGGCTGGCCAATCTTAGAAAGTGGACTGGTCTAACGTCAACTGGTCTATTTCGAGCTGATGTGAATAGAATAAGATGGGTCAATGTGGTCGCCAACATTTCTAGAAGATATGCACATTTAGAAGAAGACCAAAAACAACAAGAACAATTAATAAAGAAAATATTACTTTCAATTTACTTGATCAAGATCCAACAATTGGCGTAAGGAATATAGTAAGACAACCAAATACATTTTCTGCAAGTACTTAACGGATACTTAAAGAACAGCAGCTACATATTTATCATTACAAAAAAGTCAAGAGCTCTTACCAGACGATCTACAGGTTAGAGTGGATTTTTGAGAAAAATTGCAAGAAAGGACAGCCCTCTATCCAAATTTTTTAAAATGCATTCCTTTTACAGACGAGGCCAACTTTACGCTACAAAGTATGTTTAACTCCCATAATGCACACTACTGGTGTGATGAGAATCCACCAATCAAAAGGGTATCACATTACCAACACTCATTTAAAGTTAATGTTTGGGTAGCAACTTTAGGTAACAAATTAATAGGTTATCATATTTTACCTGATGAAATTGAAATGGTGATATGTACCGTAATTTTTTAAACAATCACTTATTCGAGATATTAGAAGATTTAACGCTACACAAGACAAGATCTTTATTTTTTATGCACGATGTAGCTCCACCGCACTTTAATAGAAGGTGTCGTAATTGGTTGAATAACCATTTTCCGAATCGATGGATTGGTAGAGGTATAGAAGCTCTGATTCATTGGCCTCCTCGGTCATGCGAATTTAATGGGACTACACAGTTTGGTCATATGTTAAGGAAAAAGTCTATACTACAGGGGTAAATTCACGTCAAGAATTGGCGAACACAATTCAACGTCACGGGCGAAAAAAATCGATTTACCAACAATCTGTAAGCGGTATACTAAAAAACGGTTCAAATAAAAAAGTGTAGCTGAGATAATTTGGAACAAAAATATTAGTACTTTTTGTGTGGAATGAACCTTTCTCTCAGAAACAACATTTGAAACGACAGGCAATTTTAAATATTAGTTATGCCCTGGAAATTAATGTTAAATAAAATTTGTTTAACTCGACGGTAAAAATTTAATATCTTTTGATCAGAGTGTCCTATCATTTTTATAATAATATTAATCTTAGTTTTAGGTATATATATATATATATATATATATATATATATATATATATATATATATATATATATATATATATATATATATATATATATTAAAACTTGGAAAATAACAAAATATGAACAAAACTGTTAATGTTTGCTCTAAAAATAAAACGAAAAATGCTTGAACGTCATAGATAATGCAAAGCCTGCTCATGAGACAATAAAAGTACTTTTTATCATTATCGCTGAACGTATTTAAAAAATCTTTTTTTGCATAAATTTGCTCTACAAGTATGGAAAACATATTTTAAACTGGCAATAATTATACTTACATTGAGTAAAATTATGGCAAATACTATCACCCAACCGTAGCCTCCTTCTGGATACACATGTTCTTCGATCTTTTTGTCATTTTTGTTATCCATCTTGATGCCGCATAAAGAATATTATGTCATTCACATATCTACGAAAAAATATTAAGTTAATATTTGAATTAGTTCATTAACGTAGTATTTTGGGATTAAAAACTTTTATTTACAGATTTTATCTTTTAACTGATTGTGCATTGAATGAGTGTTTTAAAACGAAAAAAAAATATTTTAATTACTGTATGTCTCGACATTATTAAAATAGTTGATGGTATTCTATTTATTTTGTATCAAAAATACAAAGTTCAAAACTGAATTCAAGCGTTCTGACTAATATCTCGGTGGCGCAGTGGCAACGGCGTCAAGAGTGGTGGAAGGAGCCAATCTTTATTAAAAAAAATTGAAATTTTCATGTTTGTCTGACTGATGTCCACTCGACGTGCCATGGTCGCTCAATTATAATAAGCGATTATTTGTAAAGATACAAGCAATACAGCCGAAATTACTTACTAGCAAGGCATTTACTCAAACCAAATACTACACAAAACTGATTATCCCGCTAATAACCTGAGTAGTTGACGCAGTTAATTGAAATAAAAAAGCGTCCTAAAACATTTCATAAAGTATAGCGTACAGAAAAAAATATCTTTTGTGAGTATACAAGAAGTGAAAAAATGAAAATCCTTCAGAACTATTGAAAGTAGCGTTAAGAAGTCATCCTATATGGCACGAATAAGAAAGGAAAATCTAATGGATGCATTAATTCCCCTAAAACGCATAGAAATGACGGGTGCAGCCTTTAAGTTAATGTTAGATCAAACATTGCTGAGAATCTTGCGAATGAAAGAGCTGGTAATCCTTTTATCAGACCAGAACCACTGTGAGGTATATCCAAAATCTGAGTAGTGAAAAATACCGGGAAATAGAAAAAGGAACTTATGGCCTACTGGAAAAATATTACAAGTCAAAAAGGTTATTACCACCTTCTACTTTCTATACAAACATCATATAGTTTCAGAAAAGTGAACTTAGAGAATTCGCAGGTATTTTTACTGGACACTGGTTACCCAGAGATCGTAGGTGTATTGAAAAAGTAGCAGTGGAAAAATTAACATGAAGATACTTCAAAAATGTAGAGGAAATGACCAAACATATTCCAACTACAAGACTATTGTCAAATATACAGAACAGATCTTTCTAGAAACTGACCAGGTCACAAACGAATCTCCGAAACCGATAATAGGCTTCTTTTAGAAGTCTGGATCTCTTGGATTGTCACTAGCCTGGGTTTCAGAATATAGGGATTAACAAGCCAACAAGAAGGTATAGGAATTGACGTTACCCGCTCTTCTTTAAAATTGCAAACACACACAGTGATGCAAAATAAATCTCTTGAATGATGGAGAATTGGCAAGGAAGCTCTCTACTACTGAAGTCTTTCCGAAACCTCCTAGAAAACATAAAAAAGCTAGGTCTGAATGAACATCTCTACAAGACCCTTCAGAAAGCTGTAGTACTCTCAACCTACAGATGTGTAACAAAAAATTTTTGGGAGACACTCCAGCGTACCAAGTCACCTAGGGCTCGATAACACGGAAAGAGTTCCACCAGAGCAAAATCCTTTTGATACCGTAGATATCTGGGATGAATAAAATTTCCAGGGAGTGTGAGCCGTATGGCTAAATCTGGAAAAAAATACCCAAGAAATTCTAGCTATTGAAAAAAATATAAGTGCCACAATTAGCAAATCAATTTTTTAATCGATTATTATTATGATATTTGTACGAAAAGTCACAACAAAGCGGTGTTGTTATGGAATATGTAAGAGTGATACACACTCTAAATAATTTAAAGACAATACATATATTATCTTATAAATTTTCAAAAGCCTTTATTTCTTTATTAAATAAAAAATATTTATTTAATATATATTTCTTTATAAATTTATAAACGTATGACGTATAATATATTTTATGAGTCATTGTCAAATCTATCTGTAGAAAAAATATGGCGGCTGAAGAAAGGTCCTTTTAAATGATTCTTCAAAGATGAGAATTAACATATTCTTCTTCTTGATGTGCCTATCCGTTACGAATGTTGGCGATCACCATGGCAACCTTTATCTTATCTGCAGCTGCGCGGAAAAGCTGCACAGATGTTTTATTGAACCAGATTCTGAGGTTCTTTAACCAAGATGTTCTTCTTCTTCCTGGACCTCATTTTCCAAATATTTTTCCTTGCAGGGTGGCTTGAAGGAGAGCATATCTGGATTCATTTCGCATAATACGTCTGAAGAATTGTAACTTTCGATTTGATGGTGGTCAGTACCTTTCGGTTCTTATTCATTTTTCTGAGGACCTCCTCATTTGTGACTCGGTTAGTCAACGGGATCTTATATTATTCTCCGATATAGCCACATCTCAAATGCTTCTAGTTTTCTGCACATATCTTCGTTCAAGGTCCACGATTCAACACCATAAAAATGGACAGAGTAGATGTAGCATCGCAGCATTCTTACTTTTGTATCAAGAGAGAGGTTGTGACTCTTGAAAAAGACCCCCATCCGATTGAAGGTGGATCTAGCTTTTCCGGCGCGTGATCTCATCTCCTGGTTGTTGGTCCATTCTTCATGTATTATGGTGCCGAGGTTGTTGAAGATTAGAGGAGACAAAATACATCCTTGCGTCACTCCATGCATGATTTTCACATAGTCACATAGTGTGTTCACCTTCAACTCTAAAATTTGCTATCTGATTCCAGTAAAGATTTCTAATTACTTTCAGATCTTGGTTGTTAATTCCTGCTTCTTTTAATATTTGCATCATCTTGGCGTGCTGTACTCGATCAAACGTTTTCTCGTAACCAACCACACATGCGTATACGTCACAGTTGACGTCTCTGCATCTCTGAAATAAGACTTGTACTGAGAATAAAGCCTCTCTAGTACCAACAGCATTTGTGGACCCGAACTGGTTGGGGGAAATTTGACTTTCACACAGCTTGTAGATTCTCTTATGAATTATCTTTAGGAACAATTTTAAGAGATGACTCATAAGACTTATAGTACGACTTATAATCTTCGCATTTTTGGGTCCTGGTTTTTTGAAAGTGCAATAAACTCAGATTTCAGAGTTGTACCTATATGGTGTTGAATACTTTGCAATTATTGCTATTGATTCGTTGTCCATTAGTTTGAGTAGTTCTGCTTGTATATCATCAGGGCCTACCGCTTTGCCATCCTTTAAGTGTGCTATTAGAAATTAACAAATGCCATTAGTAGATTTTTAAATTATCGAAAAATTAGCGAAAAAAAATGCTGAAGGTCAAAGTAGGTTCAATCGACAAGTTATCCCAAAAATCAAATTATTTAAATATTAAGAAAAAAACAAAGTTTTAATGTCTCCAAGTGTATTAAAAAATTGTATCTCTTGGTTGAAATTGTAAGAATTTTAAGTAAAAATTGAAATTTTTTCTATTTCAATAAAGAATGACTTGTCAAATGATTGATTACAAATAATTGTTATAAATTAGTAATGCAATTTAAAAAAGTAGAATAAAGTTTTTAAGATTGCATGAGGTCACTCTTCTTCCTCTAAAGTCTCTCACAATAATTTAAAAAGAGGTTTATAATTATTGCAATTGAGATTGATTTGTGTGTTTAGGCACCAATCAGAGTTCAGTTTCATTTTTTTGGATATCTCAAACTCAAGGTCTTCTAAAGGGTTCATAAGTCGAAAATTTTTATTTGGGATTTTATGTAAATTTTTATGTTCTTGGTAGGGGAAAAGGAATGATTGAAAAACCTTGAAGCTAACCTAAAAACCAAAGAACACTTGAATTACAGTTATGCGCGCGAAATCAATTTTAAATAAAAATTGTATCAATTCGACGGTAAAAATTCGATACATTTTGATCGAAGTGTATCGACAAAAATCAAAATGCATTTTAAAGGTGAAGAATGCAGTTTTCGTATGTGATTTTTGTATTTTACCGTAAATTAAAGTCAGTTTTTATAAGGGTGTTAAATAAATAACATAACATGTAAAAAAACATTGACGTTGTTATTGTTTCTACTTTTTGTTTAATATCTTCTACGGCCTTTCCTTCTGCCAAATTTGCGTCAACACTCACTTTGTATTGTTTATATTTAGCAGATCTGATTTTGCGCTTAAGCTAACATTGCCTTAATTAAATGTTTCTAATTTAAGTTAAAGATACGATTCGGAAATAACAGGTAGACAAACTGTTTACAGTGATTATTTAAAATAACATTTTAAACTGGTTTAACTACTTCGTTTAAAATAAAAATTCAGTAATACATTTGTGAAATATTTAAACAATAGCGATCCATAAATCTTCTTACTTATCGAAAACATTGAGCAATTTGTAAACCAGTGTTTACATTACTTGCCTGTTTGATTTAATTACCACAATTGCCATTTTCACACAAATATTGCAAAACAATGATAGATTAATAAAAATAAGGCATTTCATACAATTTGTTAGCTTTAAATATCAACAAAATAGTATATCGCAGATAAAAATTTGTATGCAATATGTCAAATTTTATGTCATTTTATTTTACGTACAGATATGTTTTAATTGACTTTTTTTACTTTTAGCAGTTCTGCGTTTCTTATACAAATATTAGCTCGTTAAATATAAAAGATAAATGTAATCTCAGATAAACATGCAATTGAAATTTGCAAATCAAAACCGCATCCTTATTCTCGCATTAATTTTGTTAAAGAAAATATTGCAACGCCTACTGTAAATCTGGACCCTTTGACCCCACCGAAGGTTATATTAACCATGAACACGGACCCTTCCAACAATCGATATCTTCTAGCAAGATTAAGAGAACCAGAGATATTAAAAGCCATCAAACTGCATCTTGCCTTTCTGTACGACCAACCTGCTTCGGTTTGTTATGGTGGTTTTACGAAAACAAGCATCAAACTATTCTTGGCTTCTGAGGGACTTTCCATGACTACAATCTTCTGCGAAAAATTTATTTGAAATTTCATGATGCCTATGGAATTGGTCCAGCTGAGGTAAACGAAGATCTAGCTGCGTTTAGGTCCTTTACCGCTGC